CTAAGTGATGTTGTTGTTCTTGACATTACAGGGATAAATGCTGCTTGCTGTTGTTCTTGAGTTCAATATTAGCCTAAGTGATGTTGTTGTTCTTGACATTACAGGGATAAATGCTGCTTGCTGTTGTTCTTGAGTTCAATATTTATCCTCTCGTGCAAAGTCTTATATTTAGCATTTGTTAGCAGTTGTTTGTATAACAAGTCATCGCTCGCTAGTTGTAAATAGTTCAATCATGTTGCAATCATGTCTAACTTCTATCTTAGTTTGTTAACTTGTTCTAATTCTTGAATTGTTATCTCATTAACTTAGTTACGTAATATTTCTGTCATTTTCTTAATTGTTTTGATTATTTTGTGTGCTTCATAGGGCTATATTACATAGAGTTTTATATTATGTCAGTTGCGTCTGAACTTAATGCAAATATCGCTATTTATGTTTCTTGATTTCCTTATATATAAATGTTTTTATGAGACTATTGTTGATTATGCATGTTTCACATGTCTGATGTCTTATAGGTTTTATCGAGGGATGTCGCGTGAAGGGGCTTGAAGGAGTTTGATGTTATGTTGATCCTTGTCTTGAGATGTTTATGTTTTGCTAGAATTCAATGATTGGGACAAACTTTGTTTACGAAATTTAGTTTTAGCGAATATGATTTTTTTGTTAAGTAGTGCGGGTAATATGATTAATGAATTGAGTTCTTCGTTATTTGGTTTGGATAGTATGAATTGCATAAAGAATGGTCGGATGATCTTATGGTATTCGTATTGATGCTTATTATAGTATTTGGCAATGCGTATTGTATTAGTGAAGATGGCACATTGTTTTACATACAAATTAAAATACCTACTTTTAATAGTTGCACGCCCTGAGATGCCTAATTGTATACCCTGTCAATGTGATTAAAATTATCAGGATGAAAGTTCAAAATATTACTTAAAATTTTCTATTTTCAAGTCTTAACAAGCTTAGTGGAGTTGTTTGATCTTGAACGAGTTGAATTGAGCTACCTAACTTGTTTAATATCTAACTAATATGAATAATAACGTACCAAAAAAACAAAAAAAAGTGTAAAAACAAAAATGCTTTGTGCCTTCACATAAAAGTAACTTACGCAGTCACCAAGAAATTTCTTCATCATTTTGTTTCATTGTCTTTCTACAAATGCTTTAATATGGTTGCTTCAGAACATCACACCTTGGAATAACAGTTTGCATAGGAGACAGTAGTCATGCAAATTGCAAACAACAAAACATAGAAAAGAAAAAGAAAGTACAAAGAAGTGTATTTACATGCAATGCACATATATGATTACTGTTTCATAAAGAGTGGAANAGAAGGTCCAAAGATTGTTCTTGCTTATCATAATTAAACCAGTATCTTTGCTAATGCAAGGCTGATTAGGTCACTAATACGAAATTTCCACATTAATTATTTCATTTCCCTGATTATACCAAATCATCTTATACCATATTTTGATGAAGTCATGGCCCAATTTACTCTAATTTATACAAAGAGAAGTTTTATTTGTTTATTATTTTTTTCTTTCAGTTTTAACTGAAATCTTGATAGTGATGTATTAACACTTTGAAGACAAAGGATTTAGCAGATAAAAGATCAAAATTTTGGGGGGAACAGAATTCCAAACCTCCCAACAGATAATCCACAAATTGAAGCAAAGCACAAGATTCATTACAGCTTTATTCTACCCAAAAAAATTTCTCTTGAAAAAACCTCCCTTACTGAACTCATTCATCTATATAAACCTTCACAGCACCACAAAAACCAAGACAAAGCAATATCTTACAACTCCTTTTTTCCCAAAATACCCCTCCCCATTACCCAAACAATGTCGTCGAGCCTTATCCCGGCACTCAAGCCTCACCCGTCGATGGCCGATAGGCGTCTCGCGCCCGTCTCGACCGAACACAAACCGAGCTACGATCAACTTGATACGCCCGTCACTGATCCCCATAAGCCCACGGGCCTTCTTGCCCCGGGCCGCAAGGCCCGTGATCGCGGCGTACTTTCCTCGGACGATAATGCCCTCACCAAGCAAGTCCTCGCGACTCACGCGCCCGACATGGAGGACCTCGACGTTAGGCCCATTCTTGCCATTATCGAGGATATCTTGCGCCTCACTAGGCCCATCTCGGCTCACGACTCGACTTCTTCGGTATTCACTCTTTTTGTTCGAGCATTTCAATATACAACCTTTTTTGTCGATTTTTTTATCTTACTATATATATATACGATTTTTGTCGAAAAATCAGGGAGCGGAAATCGCATCACACGTGTCGCCACATGATGAGAAGTCCCTCCACCACTCGACCCACCGGCCTTCGGACGATAAAGTTTTCCACACTCCCCACCTCCCGTCCGCCGATCCCGATGCAGAAATCGTCAAAATCCTCGCTTATTCCATCAACAAGATATCCTCCGAGG